GTTTTTGCAATATTAATGGTATATCTACCTATGTAATGCTATCATATTGAAATATTAATGGCATACCTGCGAGTATTATTCCCATCATGGTGACGTATTAATAGCGTACCTGCTAATGTTATACTACCAAGTGAACATATTATTGGCATACTTGTGTAATAATACCATGTTGAAATATTAATGGTATACCTGTGTAATACTACCGTGTTGATATCATAATGGCATACCTGACGAATTATAGGGTTTCGCGTAAGTTGATGCACGTAACTTAAAATTTTGAATTACCGCCAGTTCAACATGGCGACTGCGCTTGCGCTCATTACATGATGAAAAGGCCTAGTTGATCTTACAGTTGTTATATATCGCTTATATCAGACTAATATGATATAATTAAAAATACTTTCTTTAAATGTTTGTCATGATTTGACCACCTAATCGATCTATTATTCTAGAATAATAAGAATGTATGTGGGATGAAACAGTATTTTTTCTACACCCATATGGATATTAGGTTATCTACGTACAGATTACGAAACGAAAAAGTATGCTATTGCCTTCAACTGAACGAATATATTTCATATCCATTCTAGGTAGTGAGAACACTGCAAAAAAATGAAATCCACCAATCACCGTTCATATTTTGATCAACCGACTGCTATTATTTTTAAAATTTTAAATAAGTGACAATTCTGACAAACTCTCAGTTTTTTTTTTGTTCTTGAGATTAAATATACATTAAAATAAGATATATTTTTGTAGAATCGATAAATAATAGCGTTTTTATTTTTTTTTGGTCCACATTTAAAAAAAAATTAAATTTAAATAAAACTATACAAAACCAACTTAACTACGTGTATTAAAACTAAAATCTTTAAACTGGCGGTGGAGGTGAGGACAGAGCGTCTGCCTTCCACGCGAAAAGCCTGGGTTCGAATCTGTGCTAGGGACTAATTAAATTAAATCTTTTTTGTATTTATTTTATTTTTAACCGACTTCAAACAAGAAGGAAGGTTCTCAATTCGTCTGAATATTTTTTTATGTATGTTCAGCGATAATTCTTTACTGCGTTATCCAATTTCTATGATTATTTGTTTGTTAAAAAGAGGGTAACTTAGGGGTACTTCCATATAAATTTGAAAAAGATCTAATAATAAGGTCTCTGAGAAAATCATCAAACTCTTCATTTTTAAGTATTTTCAGCGATAATTCTTTACCATGTTATCCGATTTATATGATTCTTCTATTGTTAGAAAGGGGGTACCTCAGGGATAGTTCCATATGCAATTGGCCAGGATCTTGTGATCTGTGAGAAAATAAAAAATTGCAATTTGTACGGGCATCTGCACTATTTTGAAGTCGGTTTTTTAAAATTACTTTTTTAACTTGTAAAATTAATAACCTATTTTTTGAATTTGCAGATTTTCGTTGGTCAGTCGAACAAAAAATATACTCTACAACTTGAGTAGATTGTCCATATCTACTCTTGTTGCACAAACTACTGTTTTTGTCGATATGATACAATTTTACTATAATACATCAGCAAAGTACAGTCATCTTTTATTCCAACTAGTAGCGTAGCCACGGGGGGCGGGGGGCGGGTTTGGGGTTCAGAATCCCCCAACATGGAGGGCCTTCGCGTCGCCTTTTCCGCTATCTAATTGGCGCTAATACTATTAACTGCTTTTTAATCCTCCCCATAGTCCTCAGAATCCCCTCCCATGAAAAATGTCTGGCTACGCCACTGACTCCAACACACGTCAATCAAAACAAACTATATAGGAAAACACTGTATGTCCAGTGCTTTCACTGAATCCCGCGAAACTTTAATGTGAAGTAAGTTAAAATGGTGACGAGAAATGGACAAACATAATTTTGGTTGTGGAAATATATATTTTAAATAAAAAATTTATATCACTTTTGTTTTCATCTTACACAAAAAAAAACGAATATTTTTTATAATGTTTCAAAATACTACGAGTGGGGAGTTTTTTTAAGAAAATTTTGTAGTTTCGTTACAAATTTTACAAATTTCAAAAGAAACAAGAAATTCTCACCTCTTCTGGTATTAAGCTTAACACACAAATTTAATTCACATGTTTCTGTGGTATATTTTGACAAGTTGATTAAACTAAACATGGGATTTAATTGGTTTCTATAGAATGCTTTGAAAAAGAGTTGATTTGAGATAACGATGTAAATATATTTAATATATTAAGACTTTTTTTAAATTGTATCTATCTTGTCTAATAATTTAGATATTATTGGGCAACCAACTTATGGAACACCCGATATATGGTAATGGAGTTTGTTTTACAATATTTATGGCATGCCCACTTGTGTACTTTATAGTGGCTCCTGTGTTGATATCTTACTGGCGGAGGTGTAATTTATATCATATTGAGATATATTAATGGCATACCTGTGTAATATTATGCATATTGATATATTAATGGCATATTTGTGTATTGATTATCATGTTGATATAATAATGGCATACCTGTGTAATGATATCATGTTGACATATTAAAGGCATACTCATGTGAAAAGTGTGTTAAGAAAGTTTACTGGCGTACTCGTGTAAATGTTTAACATGGATAATATTTGTGGAACTAGTTGCTACAATTATCTTACTTATTTTTGAGGATTAAGGAGTGTAAATTAAATTCTATAGATTTTTTCTCTTTCACTTATATATAATATTTGCCTTGATACCACAAATACCTCCCATGCACGGATGGCACAAATATTGCCATACGTGTATATGTGTATGGTATGTGCGTGCGTGTGCGTGTGCGTGTGCGTGTGCGTGTGCGTGTGCGTGTGCGTGTGCGTGTGTGTGTGTGTGTTTGTGTGTGTGTGTGTTTGTGTGTGTGTGTGTGTGTTGTTTGTGTGTGTGTGTGTGTGTGTGTGTGTGTGTCGCATAACTCATGAACCGATACACAGAAAAATACCAAATTTTAAACTTAAGCTTTGTTCCAGCGTCCAATGAACTGATTAGATTTTGAGCAGAGTCGGAATATCTGGGGGGTTACTTTTTGGTGGTCATTTTTATATTTTATGGAATATATCTGTTATTTACGTTTGGGAAATAAAATTCTTCAAATAAAAGTTACTTCTTATATTATTATCTATAATTTTTGTTACATACAAAATTTTCCTTAAATGGTCCGTATTCGAGAAATTTGGCAAAATATAAAAAAAAATATTTTTTTATAAAAATTGTTCTAATAAAAGTTGTTTGTAATATAATTCTCTATAATTTTTATTCTATACATAATTTCTCTAAAATGGACCTTATTCCAGATATTTGAGAAAATGTGTAAATTTCGAAATTTAAATAAAACTCAAAAACGGATAAAGAAAAAAACATTAAATTTTAAACTTGAGTTTTATTTCTGCCTGACGTGAAATGATTAGATTTTGGACAAAGTTGGAACATCTGGGGGGTACTTTATGGGAGGCCGTTTTTATATTTTATGGAATATATCTGTTATTTATGTTTGGAGAAAAAATTGTTCAAATAAAAGTTACTTCTAATATTATTATCTTTCTTCGTCTGCTTTATGCCTTAAGAAATGTTCTTTATAGCCTGTAGATCTACTAGCGGTTTCATAATGTTCTGCAAATTTTTCACAAATTTGATAAGGGTCTGTTATTAAATCATCGTCAGATCGTAGTGCCTGAGGGATGTCAAAAGTATTTTTTCCTGAAATTACTTTTATTTTTCTCCATATTTCGTGGAGGCATACCTGAGGAGTAATCGTTGTTATATATTCCTCCCACGAAGCCTTTTTCGATAAATTAATTTGTCTTCTCGCTCAAGCCCTAGCCCTCTTGAATAGAACTAGGTTTTCTTGGGTTGGGTATCTCTTGAATTTATGGTATGCTTTCTTTCGGTGAATAATTGCAGTGTTAACATCCTCATTCCACCACGGTAGTGGACGATGGGATACTATTGGCTTCGACAGAGGGATGCTTGCCTTAGCTGCATCTAAAATGGCTTTGGTGACAATCTTGATAGCTTCGTCTACATTATCTGGGAGGTTAGGAATGTTGACACATTCCCTATATCTTCTCCAGTTGGCTTTTTTAGTTGCCATTTTTCCTTGATTTTGAATAATCTTGCAGGTGTGTCAATATGGATAACTATAGGGAAATGATCACTTGAGTGGAGGTCGGAGAGGGCGTCCTATGTCAGTCTAGGGGCCAAATGTGGGGAACATAAGGATATATCAATACACGATGTTTCGCCGGTTCTTGCAATAAAATGTGTTGGTTTTCCAGTGTTTAAAACTAATATATTATTATTATCTATTACAGATTCCATGTATCGACCTCGAGTATCCATTACTATAGATCCCCAAGATGGTGAGTGGGCGTTAAAGTCTCCGACAATTATTAGAGGTTGTGGCAGTTGGTCGATAATATTTTGAATATGCTGAGGTTGCCAGTTTCTATCAGGTAAGTAGATGTTACATAAAGTAGTTTTCAATGGAGTCTCTATCTGGACTGCCTTAACTTGTAGCTCTGTATTTAATTCTATTTCTTTTACAGGAATACTATTATGAATAAAGATAGCAACTCCTTCCCTAGCTCTTTGGAGAGGCTGAACATCCTTACGAAAACAATGAAATCCTCTGAAGTGAAATGGTTCATCAGATTTTAAGTGGGTCCCCTGAAGCGCAATAATCAATGGCGAATGCTTGTTCCTGATTAATTGGAGTTCGTTGATGTGTTCTTTTAGACCATTGCAGTTCCATTGGATTATTGTGTTTTTATTATCCATTTAAAATTAATGTATATTATAAAAGTAGAATATGTATAAAAAAAATAATTAAAATATATATATAAAAATTAATTAAAATATATAAATAAATAAATAAATCTTATAATTCAAATATATGTATAAATAAATAAATTTTATTTTTGTGATAGATTACCCACGCTATCAGAGTCCATCTGAGAATAGGTATCGAGAGTATTTATGTTACTCTCTACACTCAAAGTTTTTCTTGGTTTGCCTTTTGGCCAACCCGCTTTTTTTTCTTTCTTTTTGTTTCTGAGTTTGATGGTGTTTCACTCATTATAGATTCAATATCAGATCTATCAGATTTACGTCTTTTTGATATTGATTGTCTGTCTGATTCATCATAGGATCGGGCCATTGGGTAGGGTGGAAGATTATGGGATGTAGAAGGGGGCGGTAAAAATAGGTGGCTGATAGCTTTGACAAGGTGGGGAATGAGGGATTGAACGAGATCATTGATATTAATTGTTGGAGGCGCTGGTGGGCGAATTACTTGGGAGTAGCTTTTATTGGGTCTAGGAGTTTTGGCAGCAACTTTTCTTTTTGCATCAAAATACGAGAGATTTTCTTTAGTTTTTAGTTCTTGAATAGCGAATTCCTGTTTATATATAGGGCAATCTTTAGATCTTGCTGAGTGAGTTCCGTCACAATTAACACACCTAATGGGGGGTGTGCAAGGACTTCCTGTACGTAAGGGTTTTCCACATATACAAACTTGGGGTTTTTCACAATTAACTGATGTGTGCCCAAATCGTTGGCAACGAAAACAACGTAGGGGAGCTGGCACGAACAGTCTGACGTTAAGTGAATAAAAGGCGACTTTCACATTTTTTAGGTAGGATAGTGGTATTAAAGGTAAGTACATGATTTGGCGTATCAACAAGTTGACCGTCCTTCTTAGATTTTATTCTATAAACAGCTATTACATTTTGGTTTACTAACTCTTCTTGTATTTCCTCGATTGTGCAATTTAAAAGATCCGGACAGTAAATTATTCCTTTTGAGTAATTCATTGTGTTATGTGGAAGTACTTCTACCTCCATATCACAAAATCTGGTTACACTTAACAATTTTCTAGCTTGTCCTGGAGACACAGTTGCAATAAGAAGACCGTCTTTTATTTTCCTAACCATCTTAGTTGCTCCACATAACCTATTTAGTGTTTTTTCGAATAGAAAATGACTAACACATGCAAAATCTCCATCTTTCTTTTTCACGACCAGAAACCGGGGAAGAACCTCCTTTTCCTGGTTCGTGTTACTTTTGTCTCTATTTTGTGAGGGAGACACCTCAATATTATTTTTATAATCTGAATTCATTTAGGTCCCACGAGTAGGGCAGAAAAAAATTGGTCCACCGTAGCAGTGCTCCCTTACTACGGCAAGGCGGGTTACAAGTGAGTGTTGCCTGGTTCTCACAGGGAATCGTTCGAGACTAACTCCGTATAGCCATGCATCTCTTGGCACGATGTCTTACACCTTAGATTACGGATTTTTTCTAAGGTTTACTCCTTAATGCCAATTTTGGTTCACGCCGATTTGATCGGTACCACCCATATCTGGGTAGCATTCCCCTATCCACCACCTGGGGACGTGCTGGATGGAAGATTGGCAACTCCACACCAGTATTATTATTATTATTATTATTATTATTATTATTATTATTATTATTATTATTATTATTATTATTATTATTATTATTATTATTATTATTATTATTATTATTATTATTATTATTATTATTATTATTATTATTATTATTATTATTATTATTATTATTATTATTATTATTATTATTATTATTATTATTATTATTATTATTATTATTATTATTATTATTATTATTATTATTATTATTATTATTATTATTATTATTATTATTATTATTATTATTATTATTATTATTATTATTATTATTATTATTATTATTATTATTATTATTATTATTATTATTATTATTATTATTATTATTATTATTATTATTATTATTATTATTATTATTATTATTATTATTATTATTATTATTATTATTATTATTATTATTATTATTATTATTATTATTATTATTATTATTATTATTATTATTATTATTATTATTATTATTATTATTATTATTATTATTATTATTATTATTATTATTATTATTATTATTATTATTATTATTATTATTATTATTATTATTATTATTATTATTATTATTATTATTATTATTATTATTATTATTATTATTATTATTATTATTATTATTATTATTATTATTATTATTATTATTATTATTATTATTATTATTATTATTATTATTATTATTATTATTATTATTATTATTATTATTATTATTATTATTATTATTATTATTATTATTATTATTATTATTATTATTATTATTATTATTATTATTATTATTATTATTATTATTATTATTATTATTATTATTATTATTATTATTATTATTATTATTATTATTATTATTATTATTATTATTATTATTATTATTATTATTATTATTATTATTATTATTATTATTATTATTATTATTATTATTATTATTATTATTATTATTATTATTATTATTATTATTATTATTATTATTATTATTATTATTATTATTATTATTATTATTATTATTATTATTATTATTATTATTATTATTATTATTATTATTATTATTATTATTATTATTATTATTATTATTATTATTATTATTATTATTATTATTATTATTATTATTATTATTATTATTATTATTATTATTATTATTATTATTATTATTATTATTATTATTATTATTATTATTATTATTATTATTATTATTATTATTATTATTATTATTATTATTATTATTATTATTATTATTATTATTATTATTATTATTATTATTATTATTATTATTATTATTATTATTATTATTATTATTATTATTATTATTATTATTATTATTATTATTATTATTATTATTATTATTATTATTATTATTATTATTATTATTATTATTATTATTATTATTATTATTATTATTATTATTATTATTATTATTATTATTATTATTATTATTATTATTATTATTATTATTATTATTATTATTATTATTATTATTATTATTATTATTATTATTATTATTATTATTATTATTATTAATTATTATTATATTATTATTATTATTATTATTATTATTATTATTATTATTATTATTATTATTATTATTATTATTATTATTATTATTATTATTATTATTATTATTATTATTATTATTATTATTATTATTATTATTATTATTTATTATTATTATTATTATTATTATTATTATTATTATTATTATTATTATTATTATTATTATTATTATTATTATTATTATTATTATTATTATTATTATTATTATTATTATTATTATTATTATTATTATTATTATTATTATTATTATTATTATTATTATTATTATTATTATTATTATTATTATTATTATTATTATTATTATTATTATTATTATTATTATTATTATTATTATTATTATTATTATTATTATTATTATTATTATTATTATTATTATTATTATTATTATTATTATTATTATTATTATTATTATTATTATTATTATTATTATTATTATTATTATTATTATTATTATTATTATTATTATTATTATTATTATTATTATTATTATTATTATTATTATTATTATTAATTATTATTATTATTATTATTATTATTATTATTATTATTATTATTATTATTATTATTATTATTATTATTATTATTATTATTATTATTATTATTATTATTATTATTATTATTATTATTATTATTAATATTATTATTATTATTATTATTAATATTATTATTATTATTATTATTATTATTATTATTATTATTATTATTATTATTATTATTATTATTATTATTATTATTATTATTATTATTATTATTATTATTATTATTATTATTATTATTATTATTATTATTATTATTATTATTATTATTATTATTATTATTATTATTATTATTATTATTATTATTATTATTATTATTATTATTATTATTATTATTATTATTATTATTATTATTATTATTATTATTATTATTATTATTATTATTTATTATTATTATTATTATTATTATTATTATTATTATTATTATTATTATTATTATTATTATTATTATTATTATTATTATTATTATTATTATTATTATTATTATTATTATTATTATTATTATTATTATTATTATTATTATTATTATTATTAATATTATTATTATTATTATTATTATTATTATTATTATTATTATTATTATTATTATTATTATTATTATTATTATTATTATTATTATTATTATTATTATTATTATTATTATTATTAATTATTATTACCGGCCCATCACTAAGGTTCGGCACTGACTTCATACAATTTTATTAGTACGGTCCTAGTTAAGAAGCCAAATTATTAGTCAGCACTCCCATCAACAGTATTCTTCTGATATACACGTGACCTTCCAACGCCTGCTGGGAAAGTGTGGTAAGAGAAGGCGCAGTTTCAACACGAAAGTATTTATTTCAGTTAGTCTTGAAGCGGCATCTAACAATCAAAAAAAAATTTTAAAAATGAGTAAACTGGTGATTTTGTTCGTTTGCTTGGCAGTTTTTGAAATTGGTGAGTGTCTGTTTTTTTAATTTTAATTAAAATATAGTGGAATTACTGTTCTATTGGAAATACGTTTGTATTTTATTTTAATTTTTTATATTTTATTTATTAATAAATGTAAGTCGAATGGAAAGTTTTCGATTCCTGTAGATATTGAATCTACAAGTAGGTAATATAAAAAATTTCTTAGATTATATTATATTTTTTGCCGATTAAATATTAAACTTTTTTAATTTTTTGCTATAAGTTTATTTTTAAATTTGATGAATAAAATAATATTCCCAGCGTTTCACCCATAGTTCTTTGTTTTTGGAAAACTCCATCTGGTGACATATTTAAAATTTATATTTTTAGAAAGTAGACGAACCGCGGTATATTTAGATCAAAAAAAAAATATCGATTTTTGTTTCTTTTATGTGAAATAAAAACAGAAATGCAATTAAGTTGCATGATTGTTTAATCAGTGAAATTAAATAAGCAATTAAAAATCAGACACCATTTGATTATATTGGTAAATTTAAAAATACTCATTATCATCAATAATCTCAAACTTTTCCATTGGGTGTGGCCGGTCACATATATTTCTATATTTGCGAATATTATTAAATTTTATTTCTTTATATGTAACACTATCCAACCAGGTATTTGTAGAAGTGCCTTGCTTTCATCTGCCCTTAGCGTGCAACCCTGCCCATTTTGAATATTGATATTTTTCTGTTTTATAATTATTAATAATAATATACCTTAATCCTATTCTATCTAGACCTAGACCCTCCTCTTCTACCGCACACCGGTGTGATAAATGCCGAAACAATTTTAATTAAATTAATACACATTTTAAAAGATATCTTCCTATTGTTCTCCTCTTTATTTAGTGGATTTATATGGATCAATTCAAAGATAATAATCCTAGTTTCAGTACAGTTCTACTTTCAGTATCAACGGTTACTGATTGCAAACAGAAGAGGGTGGTTTTGCTAAAATTGTAAAACAAGGAATTATATTTTTAAGTTCTTTTTTATCTAAAATTACCTACAAGTTTTCCCTTGGCCTTTCTATCCCACTAGAAGATACTATTTGCCAAAGCCGTTCGACTATTGCTATTAAGGGATATATTTTATTCTTTTAATTCTATTTTTTTTTACTCTTTTTTGCCACTGGGTAATGAATGTTCCTTCTGGACTCCAGGACCCTTCGGCTGGTGACAGTTCTGCCTTAATCCCTTAATAGTA